TTTGCTGAACTTATGAGGTCCTGGCTTTAATTCCCGACTTCGGGCTCCATTGCAGAGCTGCAATGTTTTCATCTACCTAAGCTGTGTATTGCACGGCGTGCAAACGGGCGCCAGACTCGCAATCACTCGCTAGTCTTACGACTCTCCTATTCTTTGACACGCCTGCCGACATACCGGGACCTCTAGGTGTGGTTGTTTGAATCATCACTCCCATGCTGACGCCATTGGGACATAGTATGATGTCATTGGGACATCGTATGACGTCATAGGGAGCCTCTCGGAGTCCGGTTTAGTTTCTTTTTTCATTAATTAGTTTGATCATTTATTCAGGCTGGCTTTGAAGTTTGAGTATCACTCAAATCGGGATAAACCTCGGGGGTGGTGACATTTACCTCATTGAGTTGATAGCTATTGGACTGGGCTTGTGGCGACATCTCTGACGGTGTAGGATCTAAAAATATGCAGAGGACATCTTCATTCGACCGTCAGATAAGCTTTGCTGGGATAGATGATGACGAAACAAGCCTGAAATTGTCAAATGTCAGAAGGCAAAACAATTAGAAGCCTGGTGGAATCCTGCCTGACCTTTTCTTGGAATAGGTACCTAACGACGGCTGGGATATATCCGGAGGTTTATTGTCAATACTTAAAACACTATTCTTTAGAATTGTTTTTCTATTGAAAAACAGAAAAACAAATCTGAGTTTAAATATTGCATTTTAAGCGAAGCGTGCTCATTGAAAGCTTTGTCTTCTTTTAAAGCTCAGCTTTGTCCTCTACATTTTCTTCTTCATTATTTCAGTCTGCTCCATTCATTTTATTTGCTTGATATCCCCAATGCTCGTCTGACGTCTGCTGATATCCGTCCCTTCATATTGTATTGCCTCACATTTGCATCAGAAGCTCCAAGGGAAGTGTAGTGTTTTTGAGCAACAGTCATGGTTACTGATAGGTAGAAGTGAGAGCAACTTTTCATTCAGAATCATTGTAGTTACTCACTTAAATCCATGGATCTAGCGCTGTTGTATAAATATCAGTGCAATTTTTTCGAAAAGATTCGTGATAGAGTGTAATAAACTCAATGAAACAGACCACGTTAGGTAACTACGGTCAAACTACCAACATTCACTCTATTGGGCCATTTATTTGCCCGAAAACGAGCCATGATTACACTTTACAGTTTTCTTGTTGCTGCCGCGTTGAACCTGGATGTTCAATGCTCATGCTTATATTTCATGTATGTTTCATGGTGCACAGCTCCTGACATAAACGAACCCTGTATTTATGAGTGACATTAAACATAAAGTGAGCCGAAACTAGCCGAAACTCGACAAAGTTGCGATTCATGACCACCCAGCTATTTTAACCTGTTACCTACATACCTATTCATGGCCCGGGACTCGAGCCCAAACAAAACATTATTTCGTTGTTTTTAGAATACGAAAACTGCCGCGACGCGCTCTGAATTTGACAGCAGCCATGCTGACACTCACCTTTTGATCTAGCTTGACTGCCTATGACTGACATTGGCCTGTCTCGTCATGACCGGGGGGCAGTAGGGGGGTCATCCGGCCCATGGGATGTCCCCCCCCCTCAGTCAGTGTGGCTGCCAACCCGACCCCTCTCTGTCACCATTGGCTGACACAGGCCGCCTCAGCCGCAGTCGAGACTAGAAATAGCCACGGAAACAGTGACGTCAACCAAGTCGACCATGGGAGATTTGGACGGAGACGACAAATTGAGACGGAGAGACGGGAGACGGGAGACGACAGTGGAGATAAGAAATAGAGGGACGGGAGACTGAATGTAGAGGACAGAATGGTGTGGGCCGTCATAAACCGTCGATGATTGCTTGGTAATCCCACTCTATAGTAATGGATAGCACTTGGCACAGCCAGTTTTTCTTCTCGTTTGATCATGATCTAGGTAGGTGCATTTTATTTTACGTCTTTGCTGGAATTTAAAACTTAACAAGCATGTGTGGTGCATATAGTTAATAACCGACAAGCGACTGTTATTGCAAAGCATAGGCATAGTGTAATAAATAACGTATGGCATATGATAGTAAGACAAAAATAAGTATTAGAAAGGGTGCATTGAAGTGGAGAAAAATTACAAACTAGACCGCTCCGTGAACGCGTCGTTGACAGATATCTAGCACACAACTTGGTGACAGATTGGATATCTTGACGTCTGCTTACCAGAGCTCAGGTCTGGAGGGCCTCTGATAGCACCCCTCCCGCCCCCCTCGGGGGTCTGACCTTGACCCCGTACTATCTGTCGCCTGTCTTCGATGACGCCTAGCAGCGTCGGGGGGCGGGGGGGGGGGCGGAGAGGGAGGTTTAGGACTGGTCCTAGTCGCTCAGTGTCGTGAGATCGTTGGGACGTGAGACACCTGTGGCGCAATGTGTGGGACGTTTAGGTTTCCTGTCCGAGCTGTGAATAGGTGTTTTTCGTGATGGAGAGTAGACTTGTTACACACTGGAGTCTTGTTAAAGGACTGTGCTAAGAGTGCTATGGGTTTGTGGAGGGTGGAACGCCACTCAAGTGGTAACCGTGCTGCGATTTTCGTCACATCATAAGGGACTAGTAAAATAATATTTTCGGTTCGTTGATAAAAAAAAAATCGCGGAAAAATGGAGTAGGAGGTCTTTCCTAGTGTGGTCGGATGCTCGATAGTCTGTCTGCCAGTCTGTCTGTCTGTGTGTCTGTCTTTTTGTCTGTATGTTCGCTCTGTCAGTCTGTCTGTCTGTCTGTCAGTCTGTCACTCTGTCGGTCTGTCTCAGTGTTTACTTTAGCTCGCCGGCTGCCAGCCGGGGGTGGCGCACCGCTCACAGCTGGTCCGTCAGTCAGATCTTGGCGCTGGTCGGTAGAGCGCTGTGGACGGTGGAGGGTGCGACTGTGGACAGTGGAAGGGCGCTACCGTGGACAGTGGACGGTGGAAGGGTGCTACTGTGGATAGTTTACAGTGGATTGTGGACGGTGGAAGGGTGTTGTGTGGAGGGGGACGTTAGAAGGTGGCTCAGTTGAGCGGATGGTGACAAGTTGTGACTGTGGGCAGTTCAAGAGTAGATTTGTGGATGTTGTACATTGTTAAGGACTGGGAGAGTCTAGCATTCGTGGAACCCGCTGATTTATTGTGAGGCTGTTAGCTCCAGGGTTTGTTTTAAGTGTTCGATTAGTAGTTGAAGGTCAATAATTGAATTGCACATTTAGCGAAGCTTCGGCTGCAAAATTGTGCATTTTGAGATACCAGTAGTGCCGATATCAAATTCCCGTTGTGAGTTAGTCGTCACTCATTGCCCAGTTTGTGAGTTTGTGAGTGACTCTGAGGAGTTATCGTCGCCGGGTGAGCTGTGACATTGACTGATAGCGGTGTGGCAATATCGCCCGGCTCGTACCCTGCCAAACAGCTGCCAGCGCTAGCGGCTCCGCGAAGACTGAAATCGGCCCCACTCGGCAACAGAGACCACTCACACACACTGGGGCGCTCAGATAGGACGGAGACACACACTGGGCTCTGGGCAAGAGAGAGAGAGTAGAGAGAATCTCACCGAGTGAGAGGTGTTCACACAGAGAGTAACACTGGGTGAGATCGAGTGAGCAATCGGTGAGAGTTCCGCCATGTCTCAAACGGTGGTTAGTGTTGTGACTCGGATCAGTTCGGCCACCGCCCCTCCGCCGTCGCGGGCTGCAGTTAAAGGTGAGCCCCCGCCCCCGTATTCTGCCTCTACCTACCCCGACCCCGACCCCGCCCCCGCCCCCGCCTCCGCCTCGACCTGCCTTCGCCTCGCCTTGCCTCGCCTAGCCTTCCGCAGTTTCTCAGTTGCCTCAGCCTGCGCACGAGAATAAATGCGTTCGCGTGAAGCGCTTTAGCTAGAGGTTTGCTCGTGTTGAGCTGCTGAGCGAAGGCGAAAGGTATTTTGAGCTAGTTTTGGCTTATTGCATCTCGTCTTGGCTCAGAAGTTTCTTGGATGCGTGAAGGCATGACACCAAGAGTGGAGTCCTGCTTTCAGGTATTAGAGTTCTGCCAAATCTGTTTCATCTGTGTTTAATGTTGTTTGTTTTTTTTTTATATTTTTGGCTTGCTTCATTTGTCGTGTCCGTTCCTTTGACGTTGTCTTGATTAAAAGACTTGGCAACGGCTTTGGAAGGGCGTCGGTTTAGAAATATCCCACAGAATTCTCTCACATTATTTTTGGGAGTTCCCTGGACTTTTTTTGCCGTTGGACCAGATTTGGCAGCTTCTCTGACAGGATATGGCAGTCCGTGCGTCAGTTATTACGTCACACGACTAGAATTGATGACTGGCATGCCTTATGACTCTCGTTTGTTCGTGTTTGTGCATTAGTTCTTTCTTGTCATGCTGCCTGGTGTTCAGACTGAGATGTTGGATATAAATGTATAATTTGAATGATTTTATGCGTTTATTTCATTGATGTTTTGTTTCAGTTGTGTTGTGGTCTTATTTGAAACGTTTTCCCTCGCGTACTGTTTCCCAATTTTGTTCTCATTTATATCCAATTTCGCCCCGTTTATCCAATCTCAAGCTATTTTTTTTTCTTTACTTTTACCTATTGTTTGCTGGATCGTTTTCCGATACGTTTTGTTCCGTTTATATTTCAATCTAGTGTGATGTGTGATCATCCTGTGAGTATATCTTAACCACAATGATGCAACTGTGGTGATCAGCCTCGCCTCTCAGATTCATTGCTTGTCGTTTGACGTGATCACATAAACTATAAGCAATTCGCTATTTAGCATTCGTGTCTTTTCTCACGCTCACGCTTTCTTTTCCCCTTTTTCTCTTTACTCTGCGTGTTGTTATGCATTGCTTTACAATTTTCTCTCTCAATCTGGGATTTTTCTCCCGGAGTGCTAGTTTCTCTACTGTGTGGTGTGCTGTGCTTTGCCGTTTTGAACGTCCCGCCCGCCGCCGCCGCAGCTAGCGCCACCTTTCTATTAACCCCGCATGTTGTGTTTCTGTGTTTCGCCGCTAGATGGCTGTGCACGCGGTAGCAGCTCGCTGGACTCTGAGGAGGAGGGTAAGCAGTTTGAGATCCTCATCATTCGCGATTAGACGGCAGCGGTGAGACGTCGGAAAATGGCTTCTCAGAACAATGACTAGGCTCCGAGGCACGGGGACAGCTGTTGTAAATCAGCATAGTTGTGAATGTGGAATTGTGTAAAAAGCCCTGGATTTCTGGTTTAATGGCTGGACCATGCCAGTCGCAAGCAATTTATTTAAGTGACCATACAGGACAGTTGTTTTCTGGACGATTGGTACCGAGCTATTCATTTACACTGTATGATCATGTTGCTCAGTTGGTTTATGAATAGGTATTGGTTATACGATTCGAAATGATGTCGAGAGTTAGATATAGACACATTATCCCTACTATCAAACCCAGCGCCACTGGTGATGTAATATGGACGGCAGTGTTCGTCGCTACTACCTTGAATACTGTCCTCAATGCCAATAGGTGCGTCCAGAGAAGATAACTAGAGCTCTACGTTGTAATTTTGTCACGTTGCTATGGTGGCTATAAGAACATTTTCTAGTCTATTTTCTAGTCATTTTCATAGTCATTTTCTAGTCTAGTCCATTTTCTGGTATATCGAATGAAATAGTTAGTGCAATGCTGCGACTGTAGTTGAACTATAACTGTTGATAGACAGGGCCAGATATCAGGAAATGTTAAGGCCGTCCTAGCTATTACGACGGTTGAAAGATAGTGACGTCTTTGTAAATAGCGAGCCTCCATTTCACTTGATATTTATCGATAAATGGTGAGAAATACATACAATCCTCCGCTGAAAAGTCATGTCAAAAACAGTAATAAATATAGTCGCCCTATCGGTTTCATGCAAGGGAGGGTTGGGTTGGCAGTTGTGTCTGGCGAAGTTACTTCCATGGACTTTTCCGGCTATCTTAGGTAAGCGGTGCTTTTGTAGGTAGGGCCCTTTGGTAGATAAAACCCGATTCGTTTATTAGTAGATATTGATTCAGCCGTATCTTGTATCTTGTGTTATCAGATGTATCTTGGATCATCTGATCACCCTGTAAAGACCGCTGACGGGCTTTACATCGGTAGTTTCTGGCAGTCAAGTGCGCACAAATTCGCCACAGGAAGTATTGTGTTATGCTGAATCGTATCCTTATTATTTTGTAGACCATACTAACATCCTCATATGTAGATGTGCCCCAAATGTGCGTATTTCATTTTCAGTAGCTGATATAGGTAAGCCAAGCTGTGGCTATCCTTGTAGGCTCTGAAATATTTAGTAGGAATGCTTATTATTTGGTTAGTTACAACAAAAATGACCAGAAGTTAACTTTTCGAGACGGTAAGAGGCCATAACGCTGGCTCATTCCCGATGCATTTATTTGCAAATCGGGTGTGAATGTTTCGAAAAGCGAAGAGAGGAAGAAGAAAGCAAACAGAACAAGTACGCAATGACTCTGTTTAAACCTGACATAAGAATTCAGTCATCGATATTGTGCTAAATTGATATAACGAAATCAGTTTAATAAAATAAGTTTGGAATGGTTATGCAATATGGATGTAAGTTTTCTCTTTGATCATATATTCTAACTGACGGCCAAGCAACCGAACCTGTCAGGTAAGCTTATATACTGAGACCGTCAAATGAAACAAATAGCCACTGCTGCTGTGGAGTCACTGTGCTCCTCAACAGAAATACAATACAATACAATACAAACGGCAAAGAAGCCATTAGGACTCTGTCGTTGAGTGAGATTGACCGTGCGCCAGTGTTAAAGGATCGGTTTAGCTGTAGGTTGAATTATCTGGCCGTAGTTGCAAAAAAAGTTAACAATTCGACACAATTTTAGTAAGTCCATGTTCAACCGAATTAGTTTTTTAACATAAATATACAGTGACAATGTAATTAGATATCCCGATCCTCAACTTCTCTGACAAATATTCCACACTATCCTTCATCCACTTCCGATTTTCCTTCTCCTTCATCAGAAATCTTGTAAACATCCTCCAAACAGTAGCCGGTTTTGCAGTAGATGCACAGCCATGACATTGTTTTGCATGTTAGCAGAAAGAATACCAACTTGCGCGTAACTCTAAAGAAACGCTGAATTGTTGCACACAAATCGTAAGCACTGCCGACGTTTGACAATAGTAACACATTTTGTCTAGAGTGGTGGTTCATATCCAGCCAAAGCTCCACGCCTGGCACATAACTGACAGAGACTGCTTACATTTGGGCATCACATCCCGGGCACTTGTTTATAATCTTATAAATGTCAGCCATCGAATGATATCCGAGGTGTTTACATTATTCCAGTGCTATTATAGCTGGATTATTTGTCGTACCTAATGCCCAGAGTAGTACGTGCTATTTGTCGTTCATTTACTGTGGTTGATTGTTAACTCTTGACATGTTTATTTTATCGATTAATTATCAAGTTAACGCTAACTTCATTTGCATTTTTATGTTTTTTCCATAACGAAGTACTTACCAACACTTAATCTTGAATTATCTCCTTTACTTCTCGCTGTTGCTTTCATCTCGATCTAACGTTAACGCTACCCGCGCCGTGTGTTGTCCACCAGTGACGTCACCACTTGTCCACCAGTGACGTCATCACTGTGTATTTGCAGCTCGGAAACAGGAGATCGTGAAACTGACGGAACAACTTGTCGAGGCGATCACAGTTGGCGACTATGAGGCCTATACGTGAGTAGGGGGCCGGGGCGTACCATTTAGAGGGGCCACGGGAGACCCTTGAGGTCTATGCGTGAGTAAAGGACTATGACTTCAATATAGAGAGGGGTGTGGAGGTAGACTACAGGGCCTATACGTGAGTAGAGGACTATGACTTCAATATTGAGGGAGAAGGGGGACACTATGAGGTCTACAAGTGAGTTGAGGACTATAGCTTTAATGTAGAGGGATAAGGTGTAGACAATCTCCGATTTACTCTTTTGTTCCAGTACTTTCTGTTCAATAAATATCATCATCATCACTATGGGTCTAGACGTGAGTAAGGGAGTATGAATTCAATATATAGGGCATTGGTGTAACTAAACAATAGGTTTACATGTGAGTAGAGAATTGGGACTACTATACATATAGAATATAGAGGGAGTAGGAGGCATAAGTCTTATGTCGTAAGTTTGTGGTTTATCGGGAGTTTGTCGTAAGCTTGTGGCTCTCCGCAGAATACAAATGAAGTCAGGCAAATACAAGTAGAGTACAGGTTGGGCCAGGTTTCTATTTAAATATTTGGGTGGTGTTCTTGGATCTTCAAGGTTGCAGGAAGCATTACTTTCATGACATCGCTTTTCTACTTGTTCATTCCCTCTTTCATTTTATCTTCAGATGATTTTTCGTTCATTCATTAATTCATTCATTCATTCATGCAAAGCTCAAATAAGCATTATTTTAGCTTGCCCACAAGTCATTTATTCATTAATTTATTCATTACTTTATCTGTATCCTTTTTTCATTCATTCATACATTCATTCATTCATTCATGCATTCATTCATTCATTGGGCATCATTTACACGCGATAACAAGACTGTCATATGGTCTATCCTGCTCTCTCAGATTTCACTCATTCATTCATTCATTTCGTTCATTGATGGTGACCTATCATGACCCTTCGATGACCCTTCGATGACCCCTCGGTGACCTCTCGTTGACCTGTGGTGTTGCAGGAAGCTGTGTGACCCTCACCTGACCTCGTTCGAGCCAGAGGCGCTCAGTAACCTGGTGGAAGGCATGGAGTTCCACAAGTTCTACTTCGACAACGGTAAGTCACATGGTCACATGCGATTCGTGATCGGCTTAACCCTCGCCCGCACATGCCATTTTCCCATCCTAGAACGCACATGGGGGGGGGGGTGGTTGCCACCCCCCCGCGCCATTTCGTTCCTGTTGGAGATAGAGCTTAGCAGTAAAGACCAAAAAGATTCTTTGGGAAGAGACGAATCCAATGATACCCAGTTTTACCTTCTCAGGTCAGTCATTGACCTTCCAGGTCAGGTCAAACTAAAAAATGTTGCTGTTTTGGGTCACCGTTGGATATCCAGTGCGCTGCTTATCAAATACCGATGACGATGCTGTTTTCTGGTGCCAAGCCAGCTAGAACCTCTTTGTCACACTATCCGACCAGAATTTTGCTGCTGAGGTCATTTCAGGTCAAGGTCAATTATATGTGTTTGTATGTCTGTGTGTGTCTGTGTGTATACTGATGTGTGCACCGATTGTTTTTGGGTCCATATCACATGAAATCATGATCTGAGAAGCTTTTACCAAAAATGCAGTCAAAAAACTTCACAAAAAGTAAATTCAGCTTGCCTAAAACGCAATTATCTTAGATGACCTAGGTTGACCTTGACCCTGACCTTGACCCCTGTACATCGTCGAACAACATGTTCCATGATAGGTGGGAGGTAAGACTGGCAAAAAAGGCCGAAATCAGGGTGTCAAAAGCTCACAAGGCCCATGGCAAACGCAAGATGTTGAGATTTGGCCATTTGGGTCATGACATGACCTGAAAAACAAGGTCATATCTCCGAAACCAAAAATCACAGAAACTTGGAATTTTCAGTGGACATCAAGAAAGGATAGACGAGCAGCTATACGAAAAATCAGCCTTCTAGCTCTAAAAATGTTGAGTGCAGAACAGAAAGACTGCCTGGGGGGGGGGGGGGTGGCAACCACCACCCCCCATGTGCGGGCGAGGGTTAAGGTTGGGGAGATTTCCTAAAGGATGATATCTATTGTCCGTGAGAACTTTTTGTCAGGGAATAAAATGGATGCTGGCTCGGCATTCGATTGGGAATAGTACAGGTTTACCTCGAAAGTTAAGGTCGAAATATTGCAGTTATGCTGCTCGTTCACTATGACTAATAAAAAAACTAGTAATTCTTCATGCATAAAGCAAAGGAGGCGAACTAGTCAAAGGATAAGTTCCTTGCTTCTTGAATGAACCATCTGGGCTCGACACGTGCCCTGGTCGCTCTCTAGCCGCTTAGAACAGCGCGAGTGTTCTAGTTAGCACTGGGTCCACTGGATTTGCTGCTCAAGCGATAACCAGCCATGCTGGAAGCCCGATCATTTATCACATTATTTCAGTTGTAGCTTTCCGATTTAAGATGATGTCCTCCACCCTCATGTGGATAATGTTCCACCGATTGCGCTATTACTTTGTTAGCTGAATCGTCTGTATCAATATGATTCCATTATTTCGATACTTCCATTCCCGACGTTCCGTTTTATTAGACCTGTCTATGGTCCTCTCGCCATAATTTCGTGATATCTCGTTGGTTCTATTATTTCGTCTTATCTGACCCATCTGTGGTCGTTCCGCCAGCAGTGTTGGGCAAGTTCCGGAAGGCCATCAACACCACTATCCTGAACCCTAACGTTCACCTGCTGGGAGACGAGGCGGCCTGCATTGCCTACGTGCGGCTCTCGCAGTATATTGACAGGTAAGGAAGGGGGAGACGGGATGAGGTGGAGGTAGGGCTGCGGCTCGCTCCAATCTCAGTATATTGACAGGTAAGGCATGGGGAAACGGGGTGCTGGTGGGGGGGGGGGGGCGGCGGTACATTGACAGGTAAGGATGGGGGACAGGGGGTGGAGTGGGTAGGGGGCTGAGGCTCTCGCGGTACATTAACAGGTAAAGCCTGGGCTCGGGGTGGGGTGTCCACTGGGCAGGAAGCTGCGACTCGCCCACTACATTGATGAGTATTGTAAGGCATGGGGGACCCTTCTGGGGTGGGAAGAGGGCTGATATTCTCGTAATCGCAGAGCTCTGGGCCAACAGGCAGCTCAGTAACTTGGCTATGTTAGCGTGGATGAAAGGCGCCCTCAATTTTCGTCACCCCTCAAGTTCTGCCTTTGTGTGAATATGTTGTGTTCTGCCTGTCAGGCTTTTTTCGTCTCCTGCCCTCCTCATCAACTCTCCTCCCATTGTCTTTTCTTTACAAAATATGTTGTATTCTTTTCATCTGACAACGTCTTTCTTGTGGTTCTCCTACTTCTACAACTACATACTGATTGACTCTAGGTACGAGTATCTTTCCCCCTCGGATTACGAGTATGACCTTAACCTACCTCCTGCCCTTCTCCCTCCCCCAGCCCATCAATATCGAGATCGCAACACCCTCCGACCGCCCAGCTGACCTCCACAGGAAGGGCTGACTCTCTGACCTCTATCTCCCCCCCCCCCGTCCGCAGGCCAAACTGACCTCTATCTTACCTACCGTCCACAGGTCTAGCTGACTTCTATCTCTCTTACCGTCCACAGGTCTTGCTGACCTCTATCTTACCTTCTGTCCACAGGTCTAGCTGACTTCTATCTTACCTACCGTCCACAGGCCTAGCTGACCCCTATCTTACCTACCGTCCACAGGCAGGGTGTGCCCCTATCTTACCTACTGTCCACAGGCCTAGCTGACCTCTATCTTACCTTCGCTCCACATGCCAAACTGACCCCTATCTTACCTACCGTCCACAGGCCTAGCTGACCCCTATCTTACCTACCGTCCACAGGCAGTTCTGACCCCTATCTTACCTACCGTCCACAGACCTTGCTGACCTCAATCTCTCCTACCGTCCACAGGTCTTGCTGACCTCTATCTTACCTACCGTCCACAGGTCTTGCTGACCCCTATCTTGCCTACCGTCCACAGGTCTTGCTGACCCCTATCTTGCCTACCGTCCACAGACCTTGCTGACCTCTATCTCTCCTACCTTCCACAGGCAGGACTGACCCCTATCTTACCTACCGTCCACAGGCAGGGTGTGCCTCACACGGAGCAGGCCGAGGAGACCCGCGTCTGGCACCGACACGACGGAAGGTGGCAGCACATTCATTTCCACCGCTCGCAGAACGGCTCCAAGTAATCCGCCACCGCCACCGCCCACGCCCAGAAACGCCCGAAAACGCCACCGCCCGACGCCCGACGCTCGACGCCCAGAAACGCCAGACCGCTGCAGACCCGCAGAGAAAGAGAGAAAGAGAGAGTGGGGAGGTCATGTGATCGATTTCCATGTAGGTGTTATGTGTTCTCGCGCGTTTGCCGCGAAGGAGCTAGGCGGGGTGTGGGTGTTTTGTGATTGGTGGGCGCGCGGCGAGCTCGAACGCTGATTGGTGGAGCGCGGGCGGGCTGAGCGCGGATTGGCCGGCAGCCGTCGGTTAGGTGTCTGTTGATTGGTGGAGCGACTGGCTCCGTGTTCGCTGATTGGTTGTTGGGCCGGCGCGCTGCCCGCTGATTGGTCGGCTGCCGGCCGTGCTGTGTGCTGATTGGCTAGCCGGTCGGCCGGCTGATCGCCGATTGGCCGAGCCGAAAGTCACATCTAGTCGAGGAGTCGGCGGCGAAATCAAAACCAACGCAGCTGCTGTCCTCGCGCGGCGCCCCTCCGCTGCCGAACTTTGACGGTCGGCCGCTAGGTGGCAGGCGCAGCGCCGCCGCCGCCGCTCGGATTTGATGGCTTTTTATTGTGCCTGCAATGTCCGTACTTGCGCCGGGGAGCGCGCGCGTCCTGTCTTTAGGTGGTTCCCCTCTCATTCTGCCCACCCGCTTGGGACTGTATTTGTGTGTGCGTGCAATGGTACAGGGTGCGCCAGCCAGCGGCGTCGGCTGTATTGATGCTAGGACGCGTTTGGACAGTCTCCACCCCTTTGCTTGTGGTCTTATCGAGAACTTTGTCCGGGTTTTATTATATCTGGTCTCTGACGCGAGTTAGCTTGAGGCTGATTGACTGAACTATTCTGGCCAGCCGCATACAGGCAATAAGCCATTCATTACCCAATACTCTGCGTCCGTAAAGCTGGGTGGCGACTGCGACTGTGGCGCCGCCCTGGCGGCGGGTGACCGCAGTCGTAGTACCGACCGCCGCCGCCAGATGCCATGCCGGCCGCTGATGTGGTTCTCTTCGGGCCCGAGATGTTGGTGATGTTCTTAACTATCGTAGTCGGTAGTGAGTGAGTGAGGCCGCCCGCGCGCTGTGGGCGGCTCCGCCCCCGCCCCCGCCCCCGCCCCTCAGTCTGGTTGTCTGCGCCGCGTGTGTTGCGTGTGCGTCGTTTTCGCCAACTCTGGCGCGGCGTGAGATGTGTCGATTCGAGAGAGGGAGAGAAAACGAGCGAGAGCGTATGTCTGTTCGTTCGACGTGGGACGGGTTGAGGCAGAGGGATGGAGGAGTGGAGAGAGTTACGGAGAATATTGACGTGAGCAGGAGGTTGATTTAGGTTTGGGTGGTCGTATGGTGCCCACTGAGACTCTTACGGACCTTTTTGAGGTATTGATGTTGGGTGTTTTATCGACCTATTTTATTCACAAAGTGCATCGCTAAATAAAGATAGACTCTCTACGCACAATGGAGTTTTGCTTTGGCGACTGATGGGGTTTATCGGAGTAGGTGAGATTGAGAACATATTTGCGAAGGGCTCGTTCCAGTGGCGTATCCAGGATCTTGGAAAGGGGGAGGCCAAACCTGTTCGAGGGGCCCCATCCTTACCTTAGGGGCCCCAGTAGTATAGCGTACTTAACTCACGCCCAGGTGCGGTTCTTTGCCACTTTTGCCATGTGAGGGAGCCTTTTTAGGCACACTCGGCAATCTAAAAAAAAAAATGTTGAAACGTGAAAAAGGCATCGATATCTATAGCTCTGTAGCGTACAATTTATTTCAGCAGTATGGCATATAGTTTTTTTTTTTTTTTGCTTTGGTCGTCGCTAGGGACACTAAAAATCATCAAAAGCAAAATGTCTTTGCCAATTCTTTTTTAAGATGTAACATTTTTCAAAGGGCAGATGTCAGTCTCTTAGTGTCTTGCGCTGGTTGAGGGCTGGTACCCTTAACTTTAGAAGGGCCCGACTCGGTTTGAGCTCTGATCTAGACTCTGATGGCTCTATGTCGCCCACATTGGCCTCACTCCGACCTCTGAAGGCTCATTCTGGTCTCTGAAAGCCCCACACCGGCAACAGAGTGAACCACGTTGGCCTCCGGGCCCCATAATGGCCTCAGGAGACCCATGCTATGCCTGACCTCACAGGGCCCCCCGCTGGCTCTTGGGAGCCTTTGAGTCAGGCTCTGATGTCCCTATGCCGCTCTCGAACCCACGCCGGTCTCTAGAAGCCCACGATGTCCCCTGAGGGTCCCACGCATGCCTTTAAGGGCCATCCTTACCTTAGGGCCTCAGGGGGCCCAAACATGCATAAGGTCTGAAGAGTGGCTGCCGAGGCCCTCGAGGTGGTCTCTAATGGCCCGACGCCAGCCTATGAAGGCCCGTGCTGGCTTCTGAGGGCCAAGCACCAGCCTCTCAAGTCTGGAGTCAGATGACAGATGGCCCCACGCTGGCTTCAGAGGGTTCACGCTGGTCACAGAGGGCCCCACACTTGCCTAAAAGGGCTCCACATTGTCTTCAGAGGGCCCCAAGCTGGTCTCCGTGGCCAATGGACCTCAATCTGACCTAAGAAGGTCCCATGTCTCTGGGCTTATAAGACCCAATGCTGGACATCGACGGCCCCACGCTGGACATAGAGGGTCCAACACTGGCCTTAGAAGGCCCCACAATGGCCTTAGAGGGTCCCACGCTGGCCTTAGAGGACTGAGCGCTGGCTCCTTAGGGCTCTACGCCAGCGTCAAATGGTCCCACGCTCAAGTCTAAGCTTTTTTATGGCCGCCAAAGCGACCTCTGAGGGCTCCACGCTAGCCTCTGGGGGCTCAGCCTTGGCCTCTAAGGACCCTACGCTGGCCTATGAGGGCCATCAAATGGCATTTTAAGATAGTTTGACGCAGTTTGACCCTGAAAGTTACTGGTGGCCCTTCATAGGCCGGCAAGGGACCCTCAGAGGCCGGGAGACCCTCAGAGTCGCTGGTAAGTGGTCGTCAGATGCGCTGGCCTAGGGCCCTCGGAGGCGCCAGAGGCGCCTCAGAGCCACCGAAGTAGGCCCTTAAGAGGCACTGGTGTGGGACCCTTAGAGGTGGCAGTGAAGGCCATCAGAAACTGGTGTGCACCGTGAGGCCATAACAAACGGGTATGGGGCCCTTACAGCTGATCCCTGATTGGCCGGCAACGGCCCTCAGAGGCCGGCAAGGTCCCTCAGAACCCGGCGTGGGGCCCTTCTGGAGATAAGTGTGACTACACAAGAGACCATGGGGTATTCTCACAAGCCCTGTGGTGTCCTTTCCAGTTGAAGCGTGGCCAGCGCGAACCCTCTGCTGCCAATTGGCACCGCAGGGTCCCTCGGGCCCGAGGGGACCCTAAACCTTATAACGGACATGTGCCCCTCGCCCCTGGCTATGCCGTTGAATCCAAGTGATCAGGGGCTATTCAGGTGATCAGGGGCCTCTCAGGTGACCAGGGGCCTTTCAATTGACCAAGGGCCCACCAGGTGACCAGGGGACCTTCTGATAACCGGGGGCCGGTTATACCAGGAGCTCCACGGGTACCTAAATGCCTTCATGTGACTGCAGGGGCCCTTCACATAACCAGGTAATCCCCGGGTAAACATGGCCCCTTGGGCGACCAGGGTTTCTTCAGGACACTGGCCAGGGGCCACCCAAGGGATCAGAGACCCCTCAGGTAGCTGGGGGTCCCTTAGATAACCAGGGGCCCCTCAGGTAACCAGGGGCCCCTCAGATAACCAGGGGGTCTCAGGTAATTACGGGCCCCTTAGGTAATCAGGGGGCCCTCAGATAACCAGGGGCCCCTTACGTAACGCAGGGGCCCCTCAGATAGCCAGGGCCTCTCAGGTAATCAGGACTCCTTCAGATAACCACGGCCCCTCAGGTAACCAGGGCCCCCTCAGATAACCAGAGGCCCCTCAGACAACCAGGGGCCTGTCAGATAACCAGGGACCCCTTAGGTAGCCAAGGGCCCCTCAGATAACCAGGGGCCCCTCAAGTGACCAGGGGCCCCTCGGGGCCCCCGTGGCCCCCTTGGGTACGTCACTGCACTCAAGTGACCCAAAGGGCCCACTTGCATGTTTGATGCCAAAGGGGGAGGCCATGGCCTCTTGGCCTCCCCCCTGGATACGCCACTGGCTCGTTCGTAAATTGTATCAATATGGTCAGCGAAATGGAATCATAGGCTCCCAATCCAAACTGATGTAGTCCGAAGGGAAGTCACGTTTTCGTTAGTAATTAACCCCGCGTTCGATGTCTCTCGGACGACGAAGATTCTACGTCGTCCGGCCAATGCCGCCCAAGGTCAGCGGGGGCTCGGCTGCGGTTCTGGAACGTGATTGGCCGGACGGCGTAGAATCTTCGTCGTCCGAGAGACATCGAATGCGTGGTAAGTATGTTTCAGCGTTTTTGACGATTGCTTTGTGATTCTTGCTTGGGTAAGCCTTTTAGCCCTGCAAATGAATGTTCATGCAAAACCACCGGACGTATGTAAAATATTGTACGACCAAACACTTTCTTTGATTTTATTTTATTTCGTATAACACGCGTGGTCCATAGAGATCTGACGAATAACTTCCAGCAACAAGGTGGTAGCAAGCATCCGGTAAAATAAGAAAAAATCAGACAGTCGGCAAACTTAAAAAGGGTTTAAAAATGACTACTGGCTTCTATGCCCACACCCTAGCTAACCTGATACAGGTTTGAAGCAAATTACGAAGTGCAGTCAATGGTTACAGAGCGCATAATTGGGTGTTATTGTTAAGTCTCTGTCGTGATATTCGACATAGAATGTTCTCTGGACGGAAAAGCGCGCGCAACTCGACGTCACCTCTTTCATGCGTCAGTGTTCTATTATGACGTCACAAAATCGAAAGAGGCTTCGCCTGACTGCTGGTTCAAACCGATTTGAGCATTACATATAGATTTTTTCGACGCCATGTTGCTGTACCATATAGCTATTCGGTGCAATTCGGATAAAGAGAAAGACCAATCAACCTCGAGTTCAGAACAATGCTGCTCCTTAACAGCACCGTCGCCTCGCGAAGCGCTAGCCTCGATCGCTTCGCGAGGCGATTCGCGATATCGGTTCACCTCTTCACTTCTTAGAGCGGAATCGAGTAGGTGGGCGGGTTGGCCAGGTATTTCTTGACACCGTCAATTTGCAGGACGGCGTCCTTCAGGGCCGTCAGCTTGGGGTACTTGGCGATCAGCTGCGGGTTGATCTCGGCGAACCGGGAGAGCCAGTGTCCGAGGAAGACGTCCTGCCAGATCGGCTGCGGGCGGAACAGTGGCGTCAGGAAAGTCCCGAAATGGTAGCTAAATCGTGCACTTTTCGTTTGTTTCTGTCAGTTGTAACTAGCCACCGTTTTGACCGTCCGACGTTCGTAATTTAAGGCAGAATGTCATTACCGTCATTACGAAAATCGTCGGTTTCAGTTTAGAATGACGGATACGTTGTCAGAAAAATATTCATCTTGGGCCAAAGCAGGTAACAAAACTGAAAGACGAGTCTGTGGATCGTGACTATCCAAACTATCCACATTGCGCCGATAGATGGCAGGGCTATCGTGTCGCGCGGTCACGTGACTGACCGCCCGGGGGCAATGCGGCTGGCCATTCGGTTGCGGCGCGGGTCAGGGGCGGACGTGGGGCTATTGTTCCGTGGTGTGGGAAAGCTAGCTTCCAATAAGTTTAAGAGTTGAAACAGAAAATTTTATTGGTGATCGTGAAGAGGTAAGTAACGCTTCGGGCCATACAACCGACCGTCTATGTCACAACCGAGCGTCTTTTTGAAGGATTCTTTCAAACTGGGCATTATTCAGGTAAACAAAAAATAAAGTGAATAAATCTAGCTGCCCCTACTTGGAGACGTTCGTTGGTAGGTACTTGGTTTATAGCGCTTTTTAAATCCACCAAATCGGTGGTGTCAAATACGTACCTTATCATCGGTGAGGAACTTGGTCGACATACGCGACTCCCAGAGGCCGAAGATCTTGGGCATCGTCTCCTCAAAGAGCTTCTTCTCGTCCGCAGCCTTCTTTTCAGCATCCTTCTCGAACCTGGTGAGTGAAGCATTAGCATTCCCTTAGCATCGTTAAGTTTAACCTAAACTTGACCTAGCAACGTGAATGTTATCGTGTCGTTTGGGGGTCTACGTTTGAAATTGGTAGAAATATATTTTAGCCTTTCCACAGACATTAAACTTCATTTCCTCAAATTGTCTGGCGTTAACCAGCTCAAATAAGCTGAATGCTTATTGCATCTCGTCCCCTCCATCCTTAACCCGCGCGGGGCTGGGGGGGGTAAATTTTACCCCCCCTCGCGAATTTTTGCGATATCTCAAAAACGGCGGCGCGCAGCGCCGCCAAACTTTCAGTACCTTTTCTTACATCAATTTGACACGTTCCCTGAAAATTTGAGCGAAATCCGTCGGAAAATTTTTGAGAAATTGACGTTTTAGTGACGTCA